TGTTATCTTTTTTTTTCCTTTTTTTTTTCTTTTTTATTTTTGAAAATTTTCAAATGGTTGAAATAGATTTAATTGACATTTGCTAGGATATCTTTGTGGAATATTCTTGATTATCCTGTTAATTGTTCTCTTCTTCTTTTCTTTTTTTCTTTTTTTTTTTTTTTTTTTTTTTTTAAGAATATTTTCAAATAGAAATAGGACGAATTGGCTACCATGATGTCTTTGTGGAATTTTGTAAATTATTCTCTCTTTTTACATATATGTTAAGAGAATATTAAATTTGAGAATATTAGATAGAAGAAATTGATTATTATTACAGTATTCATATGGAATTTTGTTTATTATCCTCTTAATCTTCTTTTTTTTTAGAAAATTTTTAAATATCTTTAATTACAATATTTTTGTTAACTATTCTCTATTATTTTATATCCCGTTTTTTTAAAGAGAATTTTCAAATGGTAATAAAATGAATTAACTATTATTAGGATATCTTTTTGAAATTTCGTTAATTATTCTCTAAAATATTTTCTTTTTTACAGAATATTTTCAAATTTCTATTCGTCCTTCAACGTCTATTATCACATAATTTAACTTTTAAACAATAAGGATTTAATATATTTACAGCTTATTCGTTGATGTATACATATATATATATATATATATATATATATATATATATATATATTACATCGAATTTATTTAAAATTACATGCTTACAGAGAAATAACATTTACCTTGCTCCTTCTTCAAATTGCAAATATCTGCCTCTGAAGATCTTCAATAGCTTCTATCGAATGCATCTTATTACAGGAACGTGCATTTACGAGATCGACGAGAGAACATTCACGTGGATATGGACCTTTATGAATATTAATATCGAGAATTTCGTAAAGCGGATATACCATGGACGTCTTGCAAAGACCGAAGTTTAATACTAGATCATCGGTTTTTAATTAAATCTTTATTCCTCGATAAACAAATTTAGAATCTTTCTTACACGATTATATTAAATATAGCTCGATCGTTTTATTTTACGTAAATATTGTTATTTACAACTTTTATTTAAATCATATTATAATTTATTTTATTATAATTTTTATTTAAATATTTTTTTTTTATATATACATACATATATACATATATATACATATACATATATATATATATATATATATATATATATATACATACACACACACACACACACATATATATATATACACATACGTATGATCGTGTTGCCGCACATGCGCATTTTTCAGTTGTTTCTCCTAAGGATCATATATCACTGTTGGAAATATCTACCCTTGGGAACTTGTTAAATTTTTGCTAAGAAAAAGCATAGATAAAAATATATTGCCGAACTTAGGTATTTTTCGATCAAACACGCAACTAATGTGTCTAGACGGGCAATAAATAAACGATAAAAATAAATAAATATTTGGGTACAACCTAGAGTATTAAGAGTTTTCTAAGTTCTATTATTAATATATCTTCTAGTCTATACGATCATCAAATCAAAAAGGGACGCACGTGGAATTGTTTAAACATTTGAACGAATTATTTCCTGACCCATCAAAAAGGGACGCACATGGAATTGTTTAAACATTTGAACGAATTATTTCCTGACCCGTCTCTGACCAATAGACATCTTTTTTTTTTTTTTCTTACATGCTCCGATTGTACTTCAATTGTGCCCTTTTCATTCCCTTTCCTAATCTTATTATTGTCTTCATGGATAATTTAAGAAACGCCAAAAAGTTAGTCAATCTATATCTTTTGGACTCAAATCATCAAGATCTTCAAGTTTTATTAAACATTACTGGCGGCTATCGTTTATTCAGAAATTGCCAACAAAAACAAACTACACGTCATTACACAAGAACATTAACAATTGTATATTTAGTCAATAAAAAAGTGAGCTTCGTGTATTATTTAATTCATGAGGTTATTATCCATATATGGTATAATATATATTTATATATATATATATATATATATATATATATATATATAGATTGCTTTTTTTTACGTAAAAAGTTTTATTTACAACTTTTATTTATATTATATTACAATTTATTGTATTACAATTTTTATTTGTATGTATATATATATATATATATATATATATATATATGTGATAAACAAGAATATATATGTATATATTCTATATAATATATATATTGTAATAAATAGATATATATATATATATTCTTATTTATTACAATTCCGTGTGTACATGAAAAATTCGCTAGGGAATATAAAAACAAAGAAAAAACGAAAAAAAAAATATACGTTTAAATATCTTTTATTTTTAACATTATCTGTACCTTTTTTTTTATAATTTCAACAATTTTTGAAAATATATTTCTATAAGATTTTTATCATAAAATATTCATGTAATTAAGTTAACGCAAAACAATAATAAATGTAAGCATACATAAAGACTAATCTTAGAAGACAATTTTTGTCAAGTATCGCATTCTATTATGAACGTATAGAACTCATTCAGTATCAACAGAATGAAACATAGTATTTTTTATAATAATACATTACGAATTATTTCGTTAGTGCTATATATTATCTAATATATACATATATATATATATATATATATATATATATATATATATATATAATATACGTAATAGAGCTATGTACATAAATCATTGATTTATCCAATAATAATAAATATAATTCGTGCAACGATCGAACATAGAATCCTTTGATCATTAAATTATTCTATCCTTGTGTATTAATTCATGCATATTCAGATCCCGATCGAGATAATTCTACAATAGTTAGTGTAATTTTTCATGCAGCCACAATCGAATATCAATTTCGATATCAAATACATTGCCTATAGTGTAAAAGTACCAAATATAAGATCCCATATTATTATTATTAAAAGGAAGAACTGCAATATCACGGATTTATTTAAAATTTCTATAACATTGAAAATAATTCATTTTACTTAATTTTTTATTATTAGATACATGTTCCTTAATATTATTATCAATTAATTCTATTATCGTTAAAACGTAATCATTATCGTATTATTCTCAGATCAATTTGATTTCTATTTTCCAAATTTACAATTTCAATATTCGTAATATGAGATACTTCTAACATACGGAAGTGGAGCAAATCGATGAGGAATATAATACCAGAATAGTAATTGAATAACAACGTGGAATGTTTATTTTGTTCGTACCACTAATCTAATGACTATGCTGATGAACTCACCGATTTAATGTTTTGACTGCCAGAAATCAATCCATAAATATTATGATGTTAATAACATTATCTTCAGTTATAAGTTCAGATTGTATTGAATGGGCCAAAAAAAGAAGAAAAAAAAAGAAAAAAAAAATCAATGACCTTTCAATTCGAAACATTAATTTTTTATTTTATAATTTTAATTTTAATCGTATATTAGGTGCACTTTTTTTATAACTATTAATTTCTAACTCCTTTTATTTATTTCAGAATAAATCTTTTCTTTATTTTCATAATAAATAATACTACCTACGAAACTAATACTTTTTCGTAACGTTATGCTAGCGGTAAAAAGTATCGGGAAACTGGTTCGAGAGTATATAATGTGACCGAGTCAGCAGCGGTTATCGATTTAAAAGTAAAAAATTTTGAACAAATTTGTCGAACAAACAAAATGATCGATGATTTAAAATCAGTATTTGATCAATGATAAGAATCAGTGATAAACGAAGTAAATTTTATTCCGTCGAAATATATTGTTTTTTTTTTTTCAGGTTACGTAATGCCAGTCAAATGTCATAATTTTTTAATGAAGAATTAATTAACATTCGATCAGTAATTAGTATTAGGAATGATATATTAAGTCAAAATCGTTTATTTCAGTGAAAATAAAGTTTATTTTCTTTTAATCAAGCACGAGTTTCAGTTGATCTTTGCGGACACGATAGCCGACGGACGCGGTACAAGTGTAACAATACGGTGACGAGTTTCGTCGTATTTTAAATCCGTTTCAAAAAGATTCGCTGACATACAACGTCGCTTATTCTAATTATTTAGAAATTTCTACTTAACTTTTATTTGTCTTTAACTTTACAATAGGGGTAAAAAAAAACGATTTTTTCTCTATTTTTTTTTTTTACTATTCTAATTATTATTTAAGTATTAATACGTCATCCGACATCAAAGTATTAATTACGTATAAGTGAATGACAAATATAATTATATCAAAGCTTGTAATCTTTCCTTTTGTCTTTCCTATTCTCCGTTATTCAATCGAACATAAATTAAATCTAATATTTGATTCCATTATACTACACATATGTATATATGGATGTATATATATATATATATATATATATATATATACACATATTCATATATATATATATATATATATTTATATGCATATGTATATGAATTTATCAGTACGTACGTATACATATATAACACCATTGGAAAAGATCAACAGAGAATTAGTGATGCGTAGAAAATTTATCCAGAGATTGGAGATATTGCGTTGATGTCGATGACGATGGTGGATCGATAATGAATTCGATTTCACGGTGATGTGAACGCGAATTTATTAACGAGGATGCGATTAAGCATGCAAAATTACCTACCGTTTATCGTTATCTGTTGAAATTCAATAATAAAGGAGAGTAAAATCGACCAACGCACGTTTATAATATGAAAACTTTTAATTATTATCTCTTTAAAGATCTAAATGAATCTTCACGAAGTTGATTCGAATAAATCGACATCGATATCGGTATCAATGAAGGTGAATTGATTTTCAATTGAATATTTATGTTCGTTGATCGTTAAAGCATTAATTCTCATCGTTCTTTTAATACTTTTCCTATCCTTTATATCTTTTTATTTATGTTAATTTTTTCTTTCTTTCTTTTCCATTATTTTTCTTTCTTTCTTTTTTTTTTTTTCTTTTTTTTTATTATTATTATCATCGTCATCATTATTTCTTTTTGTTTGTCTGTTTGCAGAACCGGTCACCGAGATAACAGGAGGTCCAGATTTGTTTATTAACAAAGATAGTACGATAAATCTAACGTGTCTGGTAAGATACGCACCAGAGCCACCGTCCACGATAATCTGGAGTCATAATCGACAGGTAGGAGAATAAAAATAATTCAATATTACCATCAATTAAAATAATTTACCAATGGAATATTATGATTTCGAATGATTAACAATGTCGATCGTTTTAATTAATTAATTTATTTCTTTTTTTTTTTGTTTTTTTTTTTTCTTTTCTTCTTTCACATTTGTTCCTTCCTTATACTATAAAGATATAATAATAAATTATTATTCGAGCAGAGACATCTGAGAAAAATGGCGGACATATTGAAGTTTGAATTATTGGATTTAATATATATATATATATATATTTTTTTTTTATTTCGTTTCTTCGTTCTATTTCTCGGAAATGGTGCGTCGTACAAAGGAGTTCTTTCGTCTTTGCCAAAGAATATTATCAACGATTCTCTCTCTTTCTCTCTCTCTCTCTCTCTCTCTCTTTGTCTCTCTCTCTCTCTCCCTCTCTCTCTCTTTCTATTTTTCTCTCAGCTTCCATATTCGTCTTGATTTCAACGAACACAGCTTTAGAAGCGGTCGACCTGCTTTCGCACTTTGCAAGACGATAAGGACGAGAGAAAAGCAATAGTATTAAAAGTTGTAAAACGTCGTTAAAATCCGAATATTATAATAACGACATGCTCTTGTTGGGACATCATAACGTTGACATTTAATATCAATTTTGAAATGATTTTTGCAAAATTTTTATTTATTTATCGTAACGTCAATCTCGAAATACATACATAGTATCGGATAGCCTTCGTTTCGATTTTACTTCCCATCGATTTTATATCATATTATTTATTTTTCGTTTATTTTATATTCAGATTTTTATTAAAACGAAAAACGTACTACATTCGCGGTGCTGTGTTCTTCTTTCTTGCCCCTTTTTTTTTTTATTTTTTTTTTTTATTTTATTTTGAAAACCTATAAATGTGTTTCATATTATTGTTATAAAAAAGAAAAAAGCAAGGAAAAGAAGTCACGTTATTGTTATATCTCTCATATGTAAAATTTTGACAAGAGTATATATATATATATGTTTTCTTTTTTATTTTTTCAAGATAAACGCAAATATTAAAAATTCTTTTCGATGATTAACTATAATGAAAATTTTTTTCTTTTTTCATGAAATCGCTAAAATAAATCGATTAGGTTTACTTCGTTATACATTACATTTCAATCTATATCCCCGGTTGGGAATAAAATTTGGTTTAAATTAAAAGCACAAATATATTTTGTTAATTATTTATTTATTTATTCATTTATTTGTCCACTTATAAATTTTTTGTCGATGATCGTTCTCTTTCATACATAATATGAAATAATATATATATATATATATATATATATATATATATATATATATATGTATATATATATATATTTTTATACAGTGGTGTCAATAGAATATTTTCGAACTTTCTTGGTCTATCCCGACGTGTTAATAAATTCAAGACTTAAAAATTTTCATTTTCATTCATTGATGTCTTGTAGAAAATTTTATACGATTTATTTCTGACAAAACGCATCTAACATATTTTTAATCAGTTTATTAATTCTCCATCAAAATTCTTTGCCCTTTTAAAAATTACATCTTCTAATAATTTTGTTAATACAAAATCTTCTTGTCTCATTTCATTTACAATAAAGTTATTACCTTTCCGAGACTTTTTAATAATCTTGTAATAATCTTAGGGAACGAACGGTAAATTATTTTTTTTTTAATGACATTTCTACCACGTTATTATCTCTATCATTTGGTAAAAACGAATGTCCAGATATTAAAAATTTGTGATCTATGATTTCCACATTATTTTCCAAAGTTTGGACAATTTTTAACCACATTAAATTTACTTTAATGTTTCTATTTTTCCCGGCGCACATGTCATTGTAAGCTATAATGTTTCTTTCTATAATGTTTTTTTTTTTTTTCTTTTTTTTAAGACGAATATTGTTCTATAATTCTGTTTTTTTTCGACTTTTTTTTAAAAATCATTAGTTACTATTTCTTATAAGTATAAATGGAGTTAAGTCACTTACAAACTATACGGTTTAATTATTGAACTATCTCTGAAAACTTATGTGTCAAGAATTATCGTATTTGCTCGGAATATGAGCAACCTGAAATGCTTTACTGATAAATAACATAAAGTTGTACATGTAATTATGGCAATCGGAAAAAAAATGACAAAATGGAGTTAAGACACTTGCAAAATAAACGCCTCATATCTTTTTTCTTTTCTTTTCTTTTCTTTTTTTTTTTTTCTTTTTCTAACGTGATAGATCGTTCGTTAACATATCAATTCTATAAATATCTATATGTCGATTATTTATTGAGAGACATGACTCCGTCGACAAGAGGTTCGCAAACCGATTAAGCCGATTAAAGATTAGCAAGAGTATTATTGTATTTTCTAAGGCATCTGTTAGTTGCGCGGGGATAATGGAATCTAAAGCTTGTTGCGTTCTCAGGAGACCTAGACATTAAGATAATAGGATTACGGTAAGATTATCTGAATTAGATGGAGAGCAAGTGAGCGGATACGGCTTGAAGAGTTTCTGAGCGACGTGTAATTTCGAAACGAACTTCAAAATTAGTTCGTAGTTCACAGTGAATATCCTTCGAGAATCTGTTTAATTGAATGAACGATCGAACGAGTTTCTTCGTTTTCACTTATATTATACAAATATAATGATAGAATATAAATAATATAGTATAGATGAAACATCAACGGTATCGATTAAATAATGTCGAATGTAATCGAAATAAATAAATCATTGATATAATTTCTTTTTTAATTTACGTATATTTCGTCTTAATGGAATAATACAAGATAATTTTGATTAATTATAATTATTGATTTAAAAAAAGCCTTTACTATTCTACGAACATAGATGGAATATGGATAATATTTTTATATGACTTTGAAAATGTCGTGGAATCAATCAGGTGAAAAAAAAAGATACGTTGAAAATAAATAGAAAAAGAAAAAACGAATGATAGATGTTATTTCCGTTTCAATGCCGTCAATTTTCTTTTTCCTTTCTTTTTTTTTTCGTGATAAAATAACCGAAAAAATTTATGTTAATGATAATAATCGTATTTAAATAATAATCGTATAATAAAAAAGTAACATCTATGTTTTTTTACTATTATACAATTTCAACTTCTATACTCGATATGTTTCTTATCCTTTTGAGTAAATAAAAAAAAAAGAAAAAAAAAAAACCGATCATTTATCAGAAAGGACTGTAGGACGTGACGTAATTCTTCTTCTTAAAAAAAAAAAAAAAAAAAAAAGAAGGAAATTAAAACAAAGAGAGAAGAAGACAAAAAAATCATTTTCGATATTAAGAAAAAGAAATTAAAAAGAATGAAAAGAGATAGAGAATAGGAGAGATAAAACGAAAACAAAACAAAAAAAAAAGGAGGAAGAGGAGGATCAGTGGGAAAAATGTCGAAACGTCGTCGACCAGAAAAAAAAAAAACATTGTTCAAAGAAAAGATATATAAAAAAAGAAAAAAAAAAAAAAAAAGAAAAAAAGGGGGAAAAAAAAAAATATCCTTGTATCCGTGTAGTTAATCAACGCTCGATTACGTCAACGTAACATGGCGTCGAGCGGTCGACGCACTTAAGTCGCGTTTCTCAACTTGTCTTTTTTTACTTCTACGATGCTTTCTACCACTTAAATAAGATACCTATACACCCTACCCTTGCCTTATTCCAATCCCTAAAGTAGCTTTATTCCACCCTAAGCACGTCTACGAAAATGGAATAGGAAGTACGAGTGAGAGCGAGAAGAGAGTGAGAGAGCGAGACAGACAGATAAAAATATAAAATGAGAGAAAGATAAAGAGAGAGAGAGAGAGAGAGAGAGAGAGAGAGAGAGAGAAAGAAAAAGATAGATAGGTAGAGAGAGAGAGAGAGAGAGAGAGAAAGAAAGAGAAAGACTGAGAGAGAGAAAGAGAGAAAGAGAGTAAATGAGTGAGAGAGTGAAGGAGAGAGAGAGTAAATGAGTGAGAGAGTGAAGGAGAGAGAGAGAGAGAAAGAGAGAAAGAGAGTAAATGACTGAGAAAGAGAGTAAATGACTGAGAAAGAGAGTGAGAAAGAGAGAGAGAGAGAGAGAGAGAGAGAGAGAGAGATGTAAAGAAAAAGAAAAAGAAATAGAAAGAGTTAATGGCGCCACACGAGATCTTCTTCCCTCTCGCTCTTTCTCTTTCACAGGCGATTAACTTCGATTCGCCGAGAGGCGGCATTAGCCTGATCACAGAAAAAGGACCCGTGACGTCGAGTCGTTTGCTCATTCAGAAGGCCATCCAGGAAGACTCGGGACTTTACACGTGTTCGCCCAACAATACTCACTCCAACAGCGTACGAGTGCACATAGTTAATGGTAAAGAAATAAAATGAAAAAAAAAAAAAAAAAACAAAAAAAATGAATATATGATTTATTGCTTTCTTTTCTTCTTCTTCTTTTTCTTTTTCTTTCTTTTTGATTATAATCTTCTCTTTTCTTTTCTTTTTTTTCTTTATCTCTCCTTCTTTATCTCTCTCTCTCTCTCTCTCTCTCTCTCTCTCTCTCCTCTTTTTCTCTCTTTCTCTAGTTAATTTTTTTTTTTTTTAATTTAGTCCGTAAAAGTATCCAAATATCGAAATCTATCCCCTTTTCTACTTATTTATTTTCTATTCCATTAATAAATGTTTCACATACGAAATTAGTAAGTATATTATACAGAGTGTCCTTCCATAAAATGATAAGAAAATATGAAAATCTTTAATTATCTTAAAAAAAAAAAAACGTAATATCAAATCGCCTTCCTAATCATTTATTTATTTTTCATTTCATTAATGAATTTTTTTCGCATATGAAATTAATAAGTCTATTATATAGGGTATCATATCATAAAATGATAAGAAAATATCGAAACTTATCATCTTATCATTTACTTATATTTCATTTCATTAATGAATTTTTCGCATATGAAATTAGTTAGTCTATTATATAGGGTGTCCTTTCATAATAGGCTATCGATCGTACAAATAAGTTTAATAAGAAATATTTATATATATATATATATATATATATATATTTTTATATGAACAGCCACGTCTCAAATTTACATTCTACAATATAAGTTCATATGAGCTTGATTATAGATTTGTAATTTCTTTCTTCTTATATTTAATTTAGTGTCTCTAATATTTATTAGTCAGTTCGTAGTTTTTCTACTAATGTTTATTTGTTTAAAGGTAGATTTTCGATCATGGTTTGTATTTTTTTTTGTTTTGTTTTTAAAACGCTTGAACATTTTGTAGAGTTGATTTTTATTATCTTTATTCTTTTCCATTTGGTCTTCTATTTGTTTCTAATGGTTTTGCAAATTCAACGTTGCATTTTCAATTTATTCCGTGTACGTATAAAATGGCAATGACATTTGTAAATTTAAATAATACTTTATGTTGCAAAATTAACATATTCGCAATATACAAATAGTATAATTTTGTATTGCAGTATGAATTATGAATTACAATATAATTACGAATCTATTGGTTCAGTCATTAAGATACCAATTATCTTGTAAACGATAAATAAATAATTAATAAATATTATTACGATATTATGAATAATATTAAAGCAATAATAGTAAATAAAAAATAATATTAAAACAATCTTTTACTAAATATTATTAGTATTGCAAATGATCGTTACAAAAAAACAAAGAAAAGAGAAATAAAATACTATAATAATATATTTCTCGTTCGAGTAAGTTAAGAGTAAAAAAAAGAAAAAAGAAACGAATTGTTTACACTCATTCTGTATAGGAGAAAAAAAAGATCGCGGATATTGTTTTTTCTTTTTAATATAATAAACTTCCTTATAAATTCGGTCAGTTGCAAGATATTTACACGGATATCTATAGAAAGACACCCTATGTATCTACTATACGTAGATTTTTGGCAAATATAGATAAATATATTTTACGATGTACTTACAGTTCTATTTCGAAATTGGGAACGTTCGTGGATGTATACACCATCTATATATATCTATCGGATACTTATTTTATATATATATATATATGTGTGTGTGTGTGTGTGTGCGTGTGTGTGTGTGTATATATATATGTGATATTTATTTTAGATATTTATTTTATATACGAAGGGGTTGGATAGCTTAATGGTTAAAGCAACCGCTCGATAAACGAAAGACCTTTCGAAATCGAGAAACTATTTGACTTTTCACGAATCATACATTTAAAAAAAAAACAATTTATAAGTATATAAAAATATATATAAATTTTCATAAACAATATTATACGTTATATATTTAAAACAAATGCATGTAAGTATGTCGTAGATAAATGTGTTTATTTAAATTATGTATATATATGTATATATATATATATATATATATATATATATATATATGTATGTGATATTTATTTTAGATATTTATTTTATATACGAAGGGCTTGGATAGTTTAATAATTAAACCAACCACTTGGAAAATGGAAGACCTATCGGAATTGATAAACTATTTGATTTTTTACGAATCGTGTATATATATATATATATATAAAAAATAAACCAATTTATAAATATATTAAAAATACATATACAAATTTTCATAAAAAATATTATACATTATATGTATACATATATATATATATATATATATATATATATATATAAGACAAATGTGTGTAAGTACATCGTAAATAAATGTGTGTATTCACACATTACGTGTATATATATGTGTGTGTGATATTTATTATATATATATAAATATATATATATATATATATATATATATGTAGTACATTAATATGTTAGAGGTATATAATTACGTGTTCAAACAACTGAATATATTATATGTACTATATTATATATGTACGCAGTATATATATACACGTTATATATATTTCTATGGAAATTACGTTTAGAATAACTACAACGGAAACGATGTCCTCACTAGAAACGTTTAGCCTCGAGTCATGTGGTCCTCGTTCTCGTCTCTGAGATGGTTCGCGACATCTTAGAACATATTAATTTGGTTGTTTGCATCGCTTCGAGGCGATCTCTTTGAAGTTGTTCTGTTAGTAATATTCCAATCGTTCGTTATAAAGGAAAACCGTGATTATTTTACGAGATGTACGCGATTTATTGCTTTTAAAAACAAATTCGTAAAGAGTATTGAATGGTTAAAAGAAAAGATAAGAAAAAAAAAAAGAAAAGAAAAGAAAAGTAAGAAATACAGAAAAAGAAAAATTCATAATTTTTTTTTCTTTAGTAAAAATGCTTTATACGGTTATTCAAAAATTATTCAATCATTCTTACATGTTTTACATTTGAAAATCTAATTTTGAATAAATTTAATAATATTAATTAAATTTAAATTGAAATTAATAAAATTTTAAATTAAATTTCAATTGACTTATAAAAGAAAAATTTATTATAAAAGTTTATTTTGCCGAAATGATCGGAAAAATTATTTTATCATTTTTACGTTTTTTTTTACTTTTGAAAATTTACTCTTTGAAGAAATTTAATATCTTCCTTATAAAAAAATTATTATACAAAATTATTATAATATCATTATTACAAATTATTATATAAAATTATTATAATAAAAAAATATTTAATTAAAAATAATTATAAAAAATAATTACAAGATTCAATGTAACATTCAGGATTAACGATTTTCAAGGACGGCGTATCGTCGATGATGTAAATTGTTGAATAATTATAAAAGAAAAAAAGTATTATACAAAATTATTATAAAAAAAAAAAAACTCATCTTTTAGAAGCGATCGAGGATAATCGTTCGAAAAAAAGAAAACAAAAAACAAAAAAGAAAAAATGTTAAAGACGACAAAGGTATTAGAAAAAAAGTTTTGATAAAAAGAGAAATGATCGAAAGACAAAAAAAATATTTCGATATCAAATAATAATGGAAATCACTTGACATTTATTTTTTCAAGCTTGAAAATAAAATTTTTCTTCCACTTTTATTTTCTTTTTTTGTCTCTCTCTCTACCAATTACAACAATTTAATCATAAATATTAAAATATTAATTTGAATTATATATTATCATTTCGTAATCTTGTAGTGAGGCAAAGGGAAAATGATTTAATAGTAAATTCTATTATAGCATAGCGTTTGTTTCAGAAGAACATCCAGCGGCGATGCATCATGGAAGCGGTGACAGAATGGCCGCGACATTTCTTCCGCTGATTCTATTTCTTCGGACGATATTCTAGCCGTCATCGCGAGTGCTGCTCTTCCAAGACAAAACAAAGAAAATAATAACATTGAACTTTGTCTATGATCTTGGACTATGAAAGTTCGACGCTCGACGATCGACGTACACTCATATACACAAAACACATACATAGACACGCACACATAGACACAAACGTACATATACACGCATATACATACATATAGATATAAACATGGACACATATGTACGTACTTATGTATATCGTTCGTCGAGAAAGATTCAACGTAACGATTTTCACGATTAACGCGATTTTCAAGGACGGCGGTATCGTCGGCGATGTAATTGTATAGAAAATTTTTATCATCAAAAATTATAATAAAAAGGCACGATATTCGAAACGATATATGAAAAAAAGGACAACCAAAAAAAAAAAAAAAAAAAAAAAAAAAAGAAAAAAAAAGAGAGAAAAAGAAAGAAAAGAAAAAAAAAAAGAAAGAAAGAAAGAAGAAACAAATAAAATCATCAATGTTTTTTCATTTCGACGAAAAATTTATCGCCGACCTTTCGTACGATCGAATTATTTTCAAGAAAATCGCTAAGCTAACGCGAGTACCGTTAATTGTTTGTTCAAACACAATCGATTACGAGAACTCGTATTATTGTTGTCAATTCGTTTTTATTATCTGAAATAAATAACAGCAACGAGTTTTGTGCTTCGTCACCGAGATTGAACGAGCAATCGTTTGTTTTGTGCATACGTACATATACATGATATTTATATATGTATATGTATACATATATATATATATATGTATATATATATATATATATATATATATATTGCCGTCGAAAAGTTTCCGTATTCACTGAACTACAAGATTGTAAGATAGTATCGATTATTACGAAGAAGGAAAAGCGATTTATCAATTTTTTGCGCCTTTTTCAAAATATGACACAATCTCATTCTTCCTTTATATTTTCATTCCAATTTCTTAATCTTTTAATTGTTCTATTTTCTATTCCTTTTTTTTTTCTCTTTTTTTCTTTTTTTTTTTTTTCTTTTTTCATATCCAAAAATCAATATCATTTCCATCAAGTTGTTCATTTTTAAAAACACAATATTTATATATTTTGTTTTCTTTTTTTAGATTTTCTTTTTTTTTTTTTTTTTTTTTATTTTTCTTTACTAGTAATTATTTAATTCGAACAAATGAGAATCCCTTTTTTGTCTTTTTTTATAATAGAAAAATAACGTCGAAGAATATAAATAATTATTGTATTGTTATACGATTATAATTATAGGAATGGTCCAAATAATCTTTTTGACGGTAGTGTATATACATACATGAATAATATCGCAGCGCTTACGAGCCGTTCGTTTTTCTTTTCTTATTTCTTTTTTTTTCTTTTTTTTTTTTTTTCTTTGTTTTTTCTTCTCGAAATCGATGATTCTTGCGATCAATTTTTTCCTTTTCTTTTCTTTTCTTTTCTTTTCTTTTCTTTTTCTTTTCTTTTTTTTTTTTTGTTTTTCGAGCAAAAAAAAAGAGAGGAAAAAAAATTAAAAGAAACAACGAGACGCAAAGAATCATTATAATAAGACTTATAAGCAATGCCATTTGAAAAAAAAAAATGTGTTATTTCATATCTAAATGTATCGAAAATTTTCCAGGATTTTGAAATGGAAATCAGTAAAATGAGAATTCACTGATTGCGAGTACAATCGTATAATACTTTTTGGCTTATCCATTAAGTATCTATATGTATACATTAGCGATACGTAAATATACAAGATCGATCGAAGACCGCGAATACCGCAGTGCGTCCACGAAATGATGCAAAATAACGAGCTTGCGGAATAGTCGACGCATTTACGATCATTTATTCACGATTAATCGTGATTTGATTTTATTGTTTCTCATTGAAATTTTATCATTTTGTTTTTTTTTTTCTTTTTCTTCCTTTCCTTCTATCAGCCATGTTTCTTCTTCTTCTTCTTTTTCTTTTTTTTCTTTTTTCTTAATTTCTTAATTTATTCAGATATATATACATTGCATAAATGGAGTTTCGTTAATTAATATTTAAAAGTATGCATATATATATATATATATATGTATATGTATATATGTTCTTCTTTATTGTTACGAATGTGTCATGCGAAATTTCAACAAATTTTCATTTAATGTTTAAACAATATATATATATATATATATATGTATGTATATATATATATATATATATATATATATAACGGCCTCGCTGCGACAATATCGATAATATTAAATATCGGAAGTTAAATATAAATATCTCGATTGAAATTACGTACGAAGGGAAGAGAGAGAAAAAAAAAAAGAAAAGTTAAGGGGACGGACGTAATATCTGCCGTCTAACTGTAAATACGAATTATACATTCTGTACATATCAAATCGATCGTGAAATAAATAATTTACGCCTAGCTCGAAGCAATGAATATGATTCGCAATACACGTCGCAAATTGTTACGTGTATTCGTTTGTGTTCGAAAGAGAGAGAGAGAGAGAGAGAGAGCGGGAGACGTGGAGAAAACGAGCACGAAGTTAAAGAAAAAAAATTAGAAAAAGATAAAAGAAAATTAATAAAAAAAAAAAAAAAAAAAAAAAAAAAAGAAGCGAGATAAAATGAAGGAAAAAGAAAGAAAAAAAAATATTTCTGAGACAACTCTGAGAGACGAAGCGCGTTAGAGTATGGAAAAGAAGAATCTCGTGCATACGGCCGCATATGCATAAATATTTCGAGTGGAATTGAGTGAGAGTGAGAGTGTGTGTGAGAGTGAGAAAAATAGAGAGAAAGAGAGAGAGAGGGAGAGGGAGAGGGAGAGGGAGAGAGAGAGAGAGAGAGAGAGAGAGAGAGAGAGAGAGATAGTTTTTCTCATGCTTTTCTCGACGAACGACGAAAGTTTATTCACCAAAGTTATAACGCAGTTTAAGTTTCAGCGAGTAGATTTTATTTTCCAGGACGGCGAATACGGAATCGTCGACGCAAACATATTTTTTTTTCTTCTATTTTTCCCTCTCTCTCTCTCTCTCTTTCTCTCTCTCTCTCTTTCTCTCTTGTATCGCTCTCTCTTTTCTTCTGCTCTCCCTTTTTTCTTCTTCTTTTTTCTTTTCTTTTTCTGTCCTTTTATTTTTATTTCACTTTTTTTTTTTCTTTTCTTTTTTCTTCTTATTCTTATTCTTTTTCCATTTCAAAACCAGACATATTTTAAAAGTAGGTCGGGGTTTCGAGCTCGCAGTCACTTTACTTTGGTTTTCTCAATTATGACCTCTTTCGTTATGAGGACGAAAAGTAGAAGCAGGAGAAGAAGAAGAAGACGAAGACGAAGAAGAAGAAAAAGAAGAAGAGGAAGAAGACGAGGAAGAAGAAGAGGTCGATAAAAGGAGAAAAGAAAGTAAGAATACGAAAGACACGGGAACGACGAAGAGAATGAAAATTAAAAAGAAAAATAAAAAAAATAAAAAAAGAAACAGAAAAAGAAAAGAAAGTAAGAAAAGAAGAAGCGTTCGCGATCGACTGGAAAAGACTACGATTGTATTTTATATTTTTCGTTTGTCTTAAAAAAAAAAAAAAAAGAAAAAGAAAAAAAAATGCGTAAACGAAGAAAAAAAATTAAATTTAAGAAAGGATAGAAAAAAAGGAAAACAGTGATCGAGGGGAAAGACTCCAATTGTATTTTATATTTTTCGTTCGTCTTAAAAAAAAAAAAAAAAAAAGAAAAGAAAAAAAGAGAAAAATCCGGATAAAAAAAAAACAAAAATAAATTAAAAAAGGATAGGAAGAAAAAGAAAAAAGAAAAAGAAAAGAGAAGAAAAGAGGAGACAAAGAAAAAAAGAAAGAACGATTGCGATCAAAGGGGAAAGATTTCAATTTTATTTTCTATTTTTCTTGAAATAAATGCGAGTAAAAGAGAAAAAATTAAATGAAAAAAAAGAAAGAAAGAATAAAAAAAAGAAAAAGAAAGAAAGAAAGAAAGAAAGAAAGAAAGAAAGAAAAGTTCAAATCGATGCTCGTTCGTAATATCGTTTTAAACAATTTCATATATTTCTTCTGTTTTTATTACGATCATTTGCGTTCAATTTCGTTTGCCCGCTTGATATTTTTCCGTTTCATCGATGGGACCATGGAGTGGACGCGTGCGAGAGAGAA